CCTTAATGGCCCATTAACAAAGGGGGGGGGGGTTTGCTGAGTTTCGGCCTCCATTTTAGGGGAAATATTCTGCCCTTTTAATATTTCCTAAAATATCTCATTTTCCAAAGTGCTCATTTCCTACACTTCCAATTGCATTCTGTGTTTTCTCTAGGAAGATGAGGCAGCTGGTGTGAAGATCTCGTCGGATCCCCACAGTTACAAGGCTGTCAGATGGGGAGAACCCAGAAAGATTGAGCAACAGCAACAAAGACAAAAAGGGAAAAGGGCTGAAGGACAATAATGACTTTCTTCCAGCAGGAGCTAAACCAAAGGGGGGAATGTGGTGAGAACCACAAGAAGGAAAGAGTAAGGAGGGAATAGAAAGGAATCTTCAGAATTATTCCAATTGGAGTAGAATTATTTATGCTGTTATTTCAATACTCCATTCGTCTGTTAGAGCTTGGCCTTGTTCCCTTGATGATATCTTCTTGTTCAGGAATGATGGGATTTTTAGCCTGGTGTGCTCTGCCTAACTGAGTGACTTTGTGATTTAAACTTTTGGAGAACTTTGCAAAGACTTTATTCTCTCCAGAGTATTGATGCTTGGGAATAGATCCCAAACCAACAGGCTGCCCATTCCAACACAGATTATATAGCTGCCCGTGTTTTAACCAACTCTGGGAAACAGTGGTGGGATTCAAATTTTTTTTACCACCGGTTCTGTGGGCTTGGTGTCGCTTCGTGGGTGTGGCAGGGGAAGGATACGGCAAAATCCCCATTCCCTCCCCACCCCACTAACCTGCTTTCCAGCTCTGTTCTGCTATTCAGGGCAACAAAAGAATATCTGCTGGGAGGCAGTAGGGGTGGGGCCAGCCTATTTGCTGGTTCTCCAAACTACCCAAAATTCCCGCTACCAGTTCTCCAGAACCTGTCGGAACTGGCTGAATACCATCTCTGCTGGGAAGTCTCCCAATAATAAGGTTACAAAACCTTATTAATACTATAAAACTGAATAGATTAAAACAGCCCAGTCCTGATCCCAGCTGCAGCGTCAAATGTGCAATTGGCCAATCTCACCCCAGTGTTGAGGGAATAAACTTCCTCATTGACTTTTTGTCAGCAGGGAAAGACAGAGGCAGACTCCTCTGCTT